ACTCACGACCCCGGACCAGGCAGTGGCTAGGAACCAACTGTACGACCATGCCAAAAGACTTTGTAATTAAGACAAATGATGTTTTACTATAACATCTTAAAACCAGGACTAATGAAAAAATATCTCCAATAAAGCGGGACCCTCCTTGCTGACTTATGCTCCAGCAATGCTCTGCACTATTTATTCCCAGCCCGTGACTTGTGACCACACTCCTCCCTGCCCTGCCCAGAGGAGAGTCCACCTCAAGAAGAATGGGCCATGAACGGTGAGTTTAGGAATGGGAACCCACGCAAGAAACCTCTCCCCTCCTTCAGAACCCCAGTCCTGCGCTAAGAAAAACAGAAACTCTTCCAAAGTAACGCATCCAGGAAGCTTACACACAAAATGTCATTCTTGACCATTATCTTCCCAGACCTTTGTTTAAAACTGAGCAAAGAACAGAGGGAATGGGGCAGAACTGGGTCTTTTAGTGTATGTCCAAAATAGGAAGAGAGGAAGGGCCTAGCCACCACCATGACCACCACCACCCCCACCACCAAAAATTAAGGACACTGAGACCCAGACTAAGCCATGGCCTAGGGGAAATATTCCAGACCACAGAAGAGAAAAACTAAGGTTTGGATTGACAGGGCCAAGGCAAGACAAACTCCTGACATAAACTGAAGGAGGCTCCAGGAACAAGGATATTGGGGAGGAGACAAAGCGTTCTAGGGACAAGAGAAATTGAGACAGAAAAGAGGAAGAGATGCCAGAGAAAGAACATCTAGGGAGAGGGTAGGAGGCCAGCTTGCCCTTGGCTGCACAGACATGATGCAAAAAAAAAAAAAAATATATATGAAACGAAAAGTCCCCAGCCAGGGCAGACTAGGTAAGTCAGTGGGCACCTTAAAATTGAACACACTTCACAGCCCAAGCTTCAAGCCCCCAATTCACATCCCCCCACCCCCACCTAATAAAATGATGGATTTTAGGATATCTGTCTGAAGAGCTACAGGGCCCCGACTGGCCTCCCTGCTGCACTGTCTCTGGCTGTCAGCAAGGGGGAGGGTGGCCCATGACTCAGCATGAATCCTGCAGAGTCACTGCTCAAGGAGACCAGAGGTGACGTGTGCCCAGCTCTTGCAGTAAGAGTCAGACACTCCCATCTGCCTCAATCTGATGCCCGTGCCACTTTGGTTTGGCTTAGTTCTCTAACATCTTCAACTTTTCCAGGTGCCCTTACCTCTCGGTGAGCACAGTGCCAGCACCCAATCCCAAGTCCACAGTCTACGTGGCAGCATGCTTCCCTGGGTCCTTCTAGGGAGTCCCTAGAACCGGTGAGCAAACTATAGGGTGTTTCTAAGGAGGACGTTTCTAAAGGACAGATATTAAGGAGGCTCCTTTCTGAACCTCGGGGTCACCTCCAGGAAACTAGCAGGTCAGGGACCATGTGCTAGGAACAGCAGCTTTAGGGGATCAAGGCTAAGCAGGAGGTATGCTAAGGCTAAGGGTGGAGCTGGCCTCTGTTCCCCAAAGGCAGAGTAAGCAAAACTTAGCTTGCTGATCCCAAACTTCTAAAACAGCATGTCAAACAGAAGCAGGTAAGATGAAGGAAAAGAGGCTGAGCTGCCTCCTCTGTGTTGAAGAAGAGGGTCCTGGGACTGAATTTAGGTGATGCTGATTTTAACAATGCCTTGAATGACTCCCCCGTGATGTTTGTGTGCATGGGGGAGGAAAGCTGGGGGAGAAGCTGGGGGACCTCCATGAAAAGGAGTAATCCAGTGCCACACTTCAGACTCCACAGGGGCCCTGCCCTGCTTGACAAGTTGGATGAGAACTCATAAAGGACTAGTCATAGCTTCAGATGACAAAACTGGGCCAGGCCAAAATGACAAATGAGAAGGAATTCAACATGGACAGATGCCAAGGTTCACCTTTAATCAAGGTCACCTGGCAAGTCCTACAGTGCGACAGAATTGCTTCTAAATAGTATCCAGGGGAAAGGCCTAGGCAGTGTGTAGACCACAGGCTACATGTACTAGGTAGTGGGCAGATGCAAGCACAAATGAACGCTGGGGCTCAATACAGCCCAAGGGCCTACCCCAAGGCTCCTGGACTGTCTAAGCCTGCATGCCCAAGAGCAAAAGCCCTGGAGTCTACTGTCCACCCTGGGAGACCCAGAGCTCTGCCATGGAGTCTAGACTGCCTCACGTCACATTCTTGCTTGGCTTCTGTCCTTCCCTACCTTATTCTCCTCACTTCAGCAGACTAGCAGGGAGGGGATCTCTGCCTCTGTGTGGCTCTAGGAACTATGATTTCAGAGTCTTCCAGGCATAAGTTATATGTCCCATACAGGGCACAATACTGGGGCTAAAGAACCCAGGATGAGGCTCTGAAGGAGGAACTTTAATTGAATGCAGTGTGGACTATGGTGGCAGCCAAGCAGACAGGGAGGATCTATTAGCCCTGTCTTGTGGCCATGAAACCCTAGGCAGCCAGTTAGCGAGCCCAGAACTTACTGGAGCCAGGTTCTTTACATGTTTATGAAACTCCATTCTCACAAGCCAGAACCGAAGCCCTGCTTCTGCCCCGCTGTAGAGATGAAGTTTCCAGTTTTAAAGGCTGGTGTCTTGCCGAGATTTTCTGAACACCAATGTGAAGCCAGAGTTCAATCCCCAGCTCTGGACCTGTAGGCTAAGGCGGCCTACCCCAAACCTGGAGCATTAGGACCTAGGGGAGGGTCACTTCAGCCACTGTCAAATAATGATGTGCGGGGACAGGGACCCAAACAAGTGACAAATCAGTGAAAGAGGACTCTTCTCTGCTTCCCACTCTCCCTAGCACTGTGACTGCCAGGCGGTAAAGAGCCTCCATTTGAAGAGGTGTCCTAAGAGAGTGATGGCAGCCTGGACATGGCATGTACTCCTGTGTTGCCCACAGAAAGGCAGTCCTGGGGGTAGTAAGCTCCAGAAAGCCAGACATCAGCTGTCCAGGGCCCAAGGGGCCTAAGAAGGAGAGCGAATAGACAGAGAGGGTGGCCCCAGAAGCCAGAGGGAGGAATCTGCCAGGACATGAACACCTTGAACTTCTGTCCTTTGAGGTTTATGCCTCAGAGGACAGAATTTACCAGGACCAAGGAAACAAGACTAGCCCTGCTCAATGCCCCCTTTCTGCCAAGGCCTGTCAAAGCTCTGATCTCTCAACTCATACTTATTTTTAATTTAAAATAAGACAAACAAAGACCATGAGATCTGCCACCTCCCAAAGGAGTTCCAAAGGTCCAGCTAGAGAGAGCCTAAGAGCAGAAGTCTAAAAGGAAAGTCAGTGACCATGTTCAACAGCCCCTGGCCCAGTGCCAAATCAGGCCTCACCCAGGAGGAGTCCTGATATAGAGTAGGAATGGGTCCAGGTCGGAAATTAAGTCACAGGTGCCACAGGTAGACCTGAGAACAGAGGCTACACAGTTCAGCTAGTGGGTGTTTCAGGGGCCCAACCAACACATAGGCTGGGCTGGGTTCTAGCACCATCATACAAATGTTTATCAGTTAGGATAAAGCTAAGTGGGTGGGTGGCTGGTCTATCCTGACTGACAGTGGGCCCAGCCTGACTTTCATCTGGGTACCAAGTACAGCATGGGAAATGCAAGTTGGCACAGTATGCCCAACAATGGACTTGAGATCCACGTGTGGCAAAGGAGAAGGTCTTTGTGAAGCAGGTCTCACTGTTACCAGCCCTGTGGTGTACTGCCCTTCACATGGCTCTCCAGAGACTGCCCACCACCCTTCCTGGTCCCAAAAAGTGGCCTCATTGTCCTCCTGCCCCGAATGAATGGATCTCAGCCTCCTTGACTTCCTTCTCACAGAAAAGTTGGCACACAGGGGTGTGGGACCCTACCCCCGCCTTCTGCAGATCCCATAATGCTTGCCAGAGGCAACCAAGCCAGCCTCCTAGCTGATGAACACCCGACGGCACCTGACCAACAATGCTTTACTGTGTTCCGGCAGGACAGACATCTCCACTCCACCCACCTCCCCAGGCCCTCTGTGTCAATAGACTTCTCAGCTGCAGGCCTGTGTGGAGGCGCCATTGACCCATGTCTCCATAGCCATTTGCTTACTCCTCTTCAGGCTCCAAGGCTGGGCCGCTGGTACCCACGTATAAAGACGAGGTGACCATGTGCCATACACCAGAGCCCAACGCCTTGTATGACACAAATATTCAGACATGCTCGGGCCTCTGAGGTGTGTGCTTGATCCCTGGGAAAGGCGTAGTACCTGTAAGACTACCTTATCATGAGGCTTCTCACCTGAAGCCAATCTATCTCACCTTGTTTCTTGACCCACTGACATGCCATTTCCTGCACCAAACCAATGGCCTTTATTACGGTTTCCCTACTTCAGCGAGCAGCAGGACCCTGCTGATGGGGTAGATAAGCCATCTTTCACGCCCCGGGGTCCCAGAAGTGGCCTCAGCCTCCCCTTGAACAACCTATTATAGAACAACCCTATAGGAACACGGCCAGGCCTGAAGTCCTGAGTCTACCTAAGCCTGGAGCTACTTCACATGTAGGACTTGACGGGCTCCCAGAAGTCTAGATCTTCAACAGACCACCACAAGCCTCCTGGGCCTTGAGAAGCCCTTGAGTAATAAGCAGGCACCAAACCCCCTCTCCCCACCCAAATCGACTGCCCCCACTGCACAGCCCATGCTAGGGCATTCCTAGCACAAACAGGCCTTTCATACTATAGCAAACTGCCTACGTCAGGGCTCGTCAGCTAGATCCTTGCCAAACTTCAGCTGTGACATCTGGAAAGTGTGGGAAAGAGGTTAAAAACCTCAACAAGGTTAGGTGACAGCACAGTAGATGGTATGCAGGAGGCCTCTCGCAATGTCAGTTCTCCGAAGACTGAGGAACCCTGTCACCCGGCCTCCTGTGTAATTCAAGAACTCATTATTTCCTAGCAGTGCTATTAAAAATAAAGCCACCAAGAGTCCCAGGGGAGCGACAGCAAAGGTCTGTGGACAGCCTAAACAAATGGTTAAGTATTTTCACAGGAAAGAACTCAAGACTTCACTATGTGCAGTGCAAAACCCCTGTCCCAAAGTTCAGAGCCCAGGACGGACGGAGAAGTGAGTCTTGGGAATAAAGCCCTTAAAGGATAGCCCAGCTGCGTGGAACCACGAGCCCCAGGCTGGTGTTCAAGTGAGAGGGTGGCTCCTGGTGACATGGAGTCTCTGCTGTGCCTCGGTCACGGCCAGCCTCAGGGTCACAGCTCTTCATTCTGGAGCTGCTCCAGAGCAGCCACAGCAGCTGGGGCGGCGCAGCGACTGCATGACAGCCCGCAGAGGGCCCCTCCGGCCCTCCGTAGACAGGCCATCCTCACTGGCTGGCGCCTGCTGCAGCTGCTCAAACTGCATCTCCAGGTGCTTCTGGATGGCAATACCAAGCACCTCGGGGTCAACTGAGGCTCCATACACCTCCCATGTCATGCCCTCGGCATCCCATCGCACATCCCTCACAGGCGATGATGCCTCTTCCAGGCTGGACCCCAGCATTACCTCTGGGAATATGTTCATAGTCTCGGGGGCTTCCAGGGATGGGCTGGTAGCCACAGCCTTGCAGGCTGCCACTGGAGCTGCCTGAACCCCAGCATCCTGGGCTGATGCCACTCCCAGGGCCAAATCAGTGGCTGAGGTCATGGTCCACACATCTTTGGTCCTGGAGCCAGACTCTGTGGCTAGCCCTGCAGGACCCCATGGGTGGACACAGCAGTGAGGGTGCCCAGAGATCCCACCAGGCAATTTACAGTGGAATTTCACCCCACACGGAGCCTGCAACCCAGATTCACTCACTGATGCCACCAATTTGGGAAAGGCCAGGATGCCTGCGGCAGGCAAGGCATGGCAGCAGCCACCAGCTGCAGCCTCCCTCATGGTGCAGAGCAGAGCTGCCGGGGGCACAGCATGGCAGGGAGTGGTAGATGGCTGTCCAGTACCTTTGGGTCCACCCTGGGGACTTCGGATGAGTCCAGCTGTACCTTCCAGTTCTACAGTTGGTACCCATACCTGACTCTCCCCCAACAAGCAGGCTGATCTAGAAGTCCCATCCTCTGGAGCTGGGTCACTTTGCAGGACTTCATGGGTCTGGCCACCTTGGCCAGCAACACTGCCAGGCTGCAGCTGAGCCCTGTGGACAGGTGAGCTGCCAAGGGCGGAACAGCTGAGGCTGGCCTTCTGAACACTGCTGTGACCCCGGGTCTGGGTACTGTGGACCAAGTCTGAGTGACTCCTCTGCACAGCTGCCATGCTGGGGGCCTGTAGGCGACACAGGCCACCCATGCCCATGGCAGACACATTGCCAACAGTGCTGCTCCTCCAGTGGCCTGCGGCACCAGCCTGGGACCGTGGGCTTCGGGTCTGTGCTTGCTCCACGCTCTCAGCCTGGCACCCGTCTTCCTCCAGGGTCCGGGGACTAGGGCTGGCCTCACCCTGCTGTGCCTGCCACACAGTGCTGCTGGCACTCTTGCGCAGCTCTGGCTTCTGCTCCCGACCTTCACACAGCAAGCTGGAAGAACTCTGGGACAGGGGCTGTGGGCGGGGACTCTGCGGTTCCCGGGCACCTGGTTCAGGGTGCCTCAAACTCATGGCTGCCTACAAAAAAAAAAAAAAAAGAAAAGGAAAGTGAGTGAAGCCACACTGGGTGTTGGCATCTCAGCTGCATTCTTCCAGCTTCAGTGCCAGCCAGCCTGACTGCTCGGAGCCATAAGGTCGTCAGTGACAAGACAACTATCAGATACTTCAAATCAAGGCTTCCCATGTGATGCACAGATAACACTGAAAATACCTAATAATCACTATCCCAGAAACAGGCCCTGGAGACCACCACTATGCCAGCTCTTTACCGTACTTACAAGATAGGTATAGGTGTTGTGGGTGGGAGAGGAACTTAGGGGAAAGGCCAAGTGTGCTGAGGCCCTAAAAGGGAGCATGTGGCAGCATGCGGAGGGGCAGAGGGCTTTGAGAAAACAGCTCTCAGTTCATCAACACAGAAAGATTGCAAATTTTAACAGCCAGCCCAGCTGAGTACTCCTGGGACTGCCAGCATCCACTTTAATAGGAATTGGTGCTTCCTGGGTACAGAGAGGAGGCTCAGAGAAGGCTTGTGGGATAAGGAAGCAATGAATGCTGGGTATTCTGGGAAGTTCCCTGGTTCTACTCATACCCTCCTCCCACCCTCTCCAGCCTGACCTACCGAACTGTGACACATCTCAGATTGTCTTATCAGGTTCCTGACTCTCACCCTTACCCCTAGGAAAGGGAGACATTTGGATCAGCCCTTAATGCCAGGCCTCACTCAGCATTTGTTCATGTGTCTGTAGCCATTCCCCCAGCCCCTGCTGAATGCTACACTGTTCTGCAACTGGGAACATGGGGATCATTTCGCTCTGGCTGTGCCTGGGGTTGACCATCCAGCAGTGGAAAGGAAAAGAAAAGCCCAACGGCAAAAATCAGACATACCTTCTGCAAAATGTCAGCTCTCTCTTCCCAGTCTGTTCCAGCACAAGCCCCACCCCCACCTTCTACACCCAGAGCTGCCTAAGCTCAACACAACCTCTTTCTACCTCACCACCTCCTCCTGAGAACCTTTCCCAGCTGGCCCACCTGGACTATCTCCATCCCTGGCCCAGCTTCATGGGGCCCAGACAGAACAGTCTGGCTGACCCTCGGCCCCCTCCCTCTCCCCTGAAGTTGGCAGAGTCGGGACTATGGCCTATTCCTTACCATCTGTTAGCACCTTGCCCTGACATGCAGCTGGCATTCATCTGCTGCATTGATGACAGAGAGAACAAACTTAAAAACAAGGCCATGGTGGAGTGGGCTAAGGTCCCAGAACTCAGTCCAAAGAAAGGCCCTGCCAAGGCAAGGAACTCACAGTGATGCTAGGGGAAGACTTTCCGGAGAAGTCTCATGAGACCAAGGCTGGAGAGAGAGTGAGAAGGTGCCCAGATGAAGGAACAGGTGGCCAGGTGACACAGGAAAGTGACAGGCAGGCTGGGAGATGGGCAGGGCCAGAGGGTTCAGATGACTGGGCCAGCCCAGCCCCAGTAAGATGGGGAAGATCACCTAGGGACTCCGTGTCAGGCAGGATGGGCTGGGGAGGAGCAGCAGGTACAGAAGGCAACAGTTTTGGTTTAGGCAATCCCAATCCTCCCCACCTACCTCTGGCTGATAAAGACTGACAGGAACCAACCACCCCAGCCTGGAGCAAAGCCACCCAAAATGGAATGTGGCAAGCAGGGGCTCATGAACTCCATTTCTGTTATAGGAAGCCTCTCCCTGCCTCGAGTAGGAGAGTGGGGAGAAGTCTGAGGCCTAAGGGCAGAGTACAACTGGTCCAGTACAGCTGCCTGCTTTGATGGAAAGGCTGAACCGTGTCCTGTGCAGTGTGGCCGGCACTGGTTGCACCTGTACTGTCCCAGGAAGTACTGGGACCAAGAAACTGAATTTCTGATAAATAATTTAAACAACCGGCCACGTGTGGCTAATAGTCACCGGACTGGGCCATGCCACTTTGAACACAGCCAGTTTGCTAAGGAGTGTCCCATCCCAGCTGTTCCTTGTCTCCAAAGCCAGACTGCAGGAATTCAAAGAAAGGACTCCAGCCCACTACTACCTTCAAGGAGTGCTGACACCAACAATCAGGTGGAAGGATTAAAGCTGAGGGCAGTTACAATGATGACAGTACCAGCTTCGAATGCTGCAGGCTTGAGCCATATCCTTTGCAAACACTGTCCCATTCCACTGTCACAGCAACCCCGTGATGTAATTCATCATCTCCATTCTACAAATGAGGTCACAGCTCAGAAGCTTAGTGATCTGACTAAGGGCACAGAGCCAGCCAATGGCTCCGCCAGGAATCAGGTCCATCAGTCTATGAGGTCCTCTGCCCCTCTGAGCAGTCTGCAGATCTCTGACCTGACCACTGTACTCACCTGGGGTTTCAGTGCCTTCCCCTGCCTGGCACTTCCAATGGTGTTCATGGCATGCCAATGGAGCAAATGGATGGGAGCAAAGCTTGACCCCCACCCACGCACCTCACCGGATTTTTAGGCTTCATGGAATAAAGATAGATCCAGACTGAAAGTCCTGTGGGCACCAAGTCATCCTTGGCAGGGAGACAACAATCACCCAGCAACAGGGTCTAAGAGCCCTGAGGAAACCTCATCACCTACATGGCCCTGGGGGGAGACCTACTACTTTAGATCCTCCTAGGGAACAGAGAATACATAAAGAACAGGCCAGTCCCTTGGTCCCCACAGGAAAGAGGAGTACATGCAAAAAACAGTAACATGCATTAATTGTAAATGAATAAAATAAGCAGCATGGATTTGTGATATAGAGATGTCAAGATCTAATGAGGAGACACTGGCAAGAATTTAGTTGCACCTTCCTCGCTATACACTGCTCAGTGCCCAGAGCTAGCATCCCTCAGAGAGACCAGGGACCACAGAGTCCCCAGAGGGAAGCTATGCATCCACTGGCTATCTTACCTACTCCATCACTCTCTAAGTGGCAAGTTACAACACTCCGCACTGGAGCAATTCAAAGACATCAAAGAGCCCACCACTGCCAATGGCTAATTCAAAGCCTCACCAGTGTAGCAACCATCCTCAAACGCAGCAAACAACCGATGGTATTTTGAATTTAAAAGCCCAGACTAGCTTAGCCAAAGAGATCCACCTGGCCAGAGGCTTCAAAACTTGCTCCAGCCCAGGAATCTAGGCTTTAGGATATGCCCACCAGGATGACCAAGGTGCTCAACTCAGACCATACTGTGACATGTATGTAAATTCCCTCTTGTTAAGTCCAATATGCATTTGGATGGCCTTAGCAACCCTAGGGGGAGGGAAACCCCTGGGAAGGGAGGTTTCCCCTGCTCCCTGTCACCAACACCTTGGGCTAGGCTGAGGAGATGGACTCCCAGAGTGAGGAGGAAAGAGCAGGTTCTGCTCCCAGTACTGGCTCTCCTTTCTATTGCATATCTGCTCTTAGGTTGCTTTGAGCCTCACTCTTCCCAGTCCACAACACAGAAGTAAATCCTACCACACTAGGTTGAACACAATGGCATGAGGTAATCTTCTCCTTTTGCTCGTCCATCGTCAGTGACTTGAGACCACAGTATTGTAGGAACTAGCACTGGGGAAGTGCTAGAAGCAAAGATGACCTTTTAGGAAGCCATCAAGATGCCCCACAGGTAAGCTTCATCTTCCAGTTCTTGCTACCTTCATCCTATCCTGTGACATTACCAGTTTCCCCAGTGCCCCCATCACCACACTTAGTTTCCCAGAGCCTATTTTAAACCGTAGTGTAAAGCTACGCATATACACAGGGCTGGGGTGTGCGTGCCACATGCCTAGAAAGTCATGTTGCAATCATGGGCAGGTATAGCTTTACCCAAAGGAGATCCTGGGATGGGGCAGGAGAGATGGCTCAGTGGTTAAGGGCACATACTGCTCTTGCAGAGGACCTGAGTTTGGTTCCCAACACTCAAGTCGGGGGCTCTTAACTATCTGCAACTTCAGCTCCAGAGGATCAGATGTCTCTGGTCTCCACAGTCACCCATATTGACATGTACATTCTCACACACAGACACTCTCTCCTGAAAAGATGTTCTAGCATAACATAAAAGGCAGGCATACAAAAGTATCCAAGGGCCTTAGTGTTGAGTAAGTCATCAGCGTTCTTTCTCCCTCCTTGTCTGATGCAAAAGTCCTGATGATTGTGGTTGGTGTCATGTGGTCACTGTTGGACTGTCCTGCTACCTCAGGTTCCACTGTCAACAACTAAGGGATCAAGCAGCCTCGCATGCAGCAAGTATAAACGTCATGTTGAAGAAGCACCCAGACTTTCAGAAACTTCCAGACCAGCCCAACCTGAGGCTGTTGGCTCCACCAGGGTAGAAGTTCCGATTCGCACCCCAACTGAGAAGCCCAGACCTTTGGGGTGGACCCAGGAAGGCTTCTAAGGAGCCCATCTCAGACACATGATGTCATTCATGTAAGTACTGTCCTCTTAAGTAGCAGGTGCTAAGATGGCAACCTCTGTGTCCAGAACGCCACAAAAGAAAAAGCAAGTCCACAAAGGAGGGATCAGAGCATGAGAGGAGAGACAGGACTGGTCACCAGTGTTAAAATACAGAAGTTCTTCCAGGACCAGGTAGGGATAACTCCTACAAATATCTCCAATCCCTTGTACAGAGGGGTGTGGCCACCTACATCAGGTGGTTCAATCCATCCCAGAGCAAATAAGACCTAACACTCAAGCCGAAAGGAGACACGCAGCAGGAGACATTCCTAAAAGGGACGGGGGTTCGAGGGATCAAACCAGCCCCTCATAATCTCTAGCCTCATCAAGATGACCTAGAGCCCAAAGGCAGAGAAATGCCAAGAAAGGGTTCTTGAGGCAAGCATGAGGCATCAAGCTCAAGATCCCACCCCTGCTCTCTATAGAGAGATCTAAAGAGTCCCAGCGCCTGACCTGAGCCATGTGAGGGTTTGCTCATTCCCTTAGAGGTGCTTCTAGTGGGCTGAACAAGTCCCATGGGTCAGCTGCAACAGCAGGAAGGCAGCCCAGGTGGCCCGCTGTGATCCTACCTGCACTGGCCAGCACAGCCCCTCGCTGTGGTCAGCTCGCTGTGGTCACAGGCAGCTCGCTGTGGTCACCCCAAAGGCCGGTTTACAGGGCGAACCTGCAGGAAAGATCGTTCTTCGCACAGGAGCACTCTGCATGCCAGACACAGGCCGCCCCTGCTGCGGGCAAAGGCCTGAACGCACCACAAACCACGCAGCCTCTCTTCTCCGCACCTCCAGAGCAAAGCCCACAGTGGTCTTAGGGAGAAGAACCCAACGCTAACCTCGGAACCAGGCTACAGACCTTCCCAGGACAAAGGACTTGGGGCAGTGAGCCCGCGGGTAGGGATGCTCCTGAGCAGAAGAGGGCGGGGTGTTGGCCACAGAGCACAGGGTGGGGGGTGCGGATGGAAGTGAGGAGGGCAAAAAGCAAAGGGAGGCGGGGTGGAGGCCGATGGACACAGGTTCAGGGCAGAAAAGACAAAAAACAAAACCCGGAGGCTGGGCAGAGGGGAAATGGAAAAGACGACCCTAAAGGGTAGGCAATGGTGCGGAGTAATGCGGAGCTGGCAGGGATGAGGAGTGGGTTCAGGGATTCAGGAAGGGGCGGCGCCGCCCTCACCACCCCAGCACCCACCACGGGCCTTGATGGAGTCAGCCTCTCACCCTGTCGCCGCCAGGGCCGCACGGGCCGGCGGAAGCTCTGCTCCTGCAGCCGCCACAGGTGCCCGGGGCCAAGATGGAGCCGGAGCCGCACCGGGTCTAGCCCGCCGCGATGCAGTCGGCCGCGGAGCCTGCGCTGCCAAGGGGCAGACGGAGAGGCTGGCACAGGGACCGGGAGCAGGGACCGGGAGCAGGGGCGGGAGCAGGGGCGCTGGGGGGCGGTGGCTCGCTCACCTGGGCGCACCCGCCTCTGCACTGCCTCAGCCTGCCGGCCCCACCCCCTACCCCGGGCCCCGCCCCACGCCCACTTCTCTAGGCTCCTCCCCCAAGAGCGCCCAGCCCCGTTCCGGACCCCTCCTCAAGGCTATTTCCCTACTAAGGGATCATCCATCTTTGCAACCAGCCCTCTTGACACAGCCGGCTGGCTTGTGTGTTCCAGTCTTCCGCCCCTAAAGGGCGCCATCGTCCTATCCCAGTCTAGCCGTGTTCAGCCTCAAATCCTCCAGGTCCCAAATTCACTCCGTTAGAGATTTATCCCTTCAACTCTTCCCTCAGGTACCAGGATCTACAGACCCTTCCTAATGGCCCAGCCCACTGTCCTTTATCATTTTCTACCCCAACTCTCACAATTCTCCAGGCCTTTCGACCTTTTCTCCCCAGGTCCTGCCCTCTTGAGGCCTTGTAGTTCTACCACTATGGGTTGGGGATTCTTCAGGCCCGGATCCAACAGGACTATCTTCTCAGCTCTACACTCACCTCAGGGAGAAACTCAAGCTTGGTACCCATTCTTTCAGGCTGGTCCTCGGAACACCTGCCTAGGCCCCAGGCCCCAAGCCCCAAGAACCCTAATGTCACAGTCTGCTTTTTCAAAGTCACATCCTCAGCCAAGTCCTTCAAGGTCCATATTCTTGATATGGTGTCACCCAATCCACTTCCAGCACCATTTCCACCCTTGCCCTCTGACCCAATTCAGCTTGAGGCCTTCAGTCTCCTAGAGGGCTTCAGGGATGCTAAGAGCTGACATGCACAGTGAAGACCAAGGGTACAGACTCACTGGAGCCTGAATTCTTTTCCTATAATTCCCAAAGCCCTGACACTCCCTTTCTTGATCCCACCTTGTCCCTTCCTAAAAGCTCTACAGATTTTTGGGTTGCCTGATCCCATGGGAAACCTAGGAGCTCCATAACATTCCCTCAACATCCTCAAACACACAGGACAGGAAGCCACCCCACTCAGATCTGGCCAGACTCAGTTTACCTACAAGAAGTTCCTGGTACCCTGGGACCCAGGGCCACACACTAAGAGGACTCCAGGCTTCTTCTGAGTCCGAGTCTCAGAGAATTGAGCCTCAGAGAATTGTGTCAAACTCCTTTGTTGACAGCAGCCCTTGGGGCTCCATGCTGCCTAGGGTTGTCTAGACACCTTCCACGCAGTTATGGGGAGCCAATACCATCTTTCTCCCTCCCTCAGTTGGCGCATCTCCATCTTCTCAGAAAGATCTACATTTCCCCAGTCACCCCTTCCCAGCAGGGCCTCACAGCATCCTCCACAGCTTGGGAAGACAACCATTCTGGGAGAGCTAAGCACCATAACAGCGGGGTATCCAAGCAAGGGCCTCAGGTTTTTACTTTCCTATCACTCACAGCCTGCCTGAAGGATCTTTCTCAAAGAGCCTATATAAGATTTCTGTGCCAGGGACACTAACCAACGGCCGTCTCTCCCAAAAATCCCTATTCTTCTCATATTCTCTTTCCAGAGATGTCACTTGCAGCCCTAGAAGGAATGGGGTAAACATGGCTACACTAACAGCAGACCCAGACCCCAAGCCCATGGCCTCCAGGGAATCCTGATAAGAACCTCGCCATGTATGGTCCAAGGAAGCCTGCTGAGGACTGGGTGTTCACTGATGTCTGCCAGACTGGATACACAGAGGCATGGTCTGGCTGGACCATGCCACCAGGACCTCCGACCATCACCTTGCTCTTGGCCTCTTGACCTCTTGGTTCACTGGTCCCAAGGCTTGGCAAGGAGGAGATCCAGGGAGAGACTGGGATAGGGACTTAGATAACAATTCCCATCCAACTTTCAACATGTTCATTTACCCTGTGATCCCACACTCAGGCAAGGCTGTCCATCTCCCTGGGAATCAGTTTCTTCATCTGATAAGCGATGGTAAGTATCTCCCTATCTCATGGGCTGTGGGTAGGCTGTAGGTGTGAAAGTGTTCTGTGCAATGTTCTTTCTGCTGTCACTCATATAATTACCAAGCCCCTCCTATGCTAGGCTCTCGGAGTACAAGCTCTGGCTGTTGGGAATGGGGAGGAGATGGGGCTTTGTAAAGGGTCAGGGCAAGGAGAGGTGTATCTGGCTTGTTAACCAGATGGGACAAGTGCCATTTGCTGAGAGGAGCAGATATGGAATCTTCTCAGTCTCTCAGAGTGGGCACAGTGAGTCGTTGGTGTCCTCCTTGGGAGGTATGAGCATCCAAGATACAGAGGTGACTCAGGGTAAGTAAGATATTCCGAGAAAGAGATAAGTATGAGGAGGTTTGGGAACCCAGCTATGAGAAACCAAGTGGGCAGGGACTGGGAACTAGACAGCACAGAAGAAAACAAGTGTGTTGAGGTGACTCAGGGCAGCTAGAGCATATTCTTCAGAGAGGTGCTAGAGGAGGCACTCCAGGAATGGGTAGAGGGATAGTTTAGAGAAGAGACACTAACGAGGTATATGCCTAGTCAACCAAAGCATGGCTATAAAGGGGAGAAGACAAGTGTCACCAGAAAGAAAGACAGGGGTCAAGAAAGCTGTTTATATTTGAGTAGGTTTTGGTCCCTTTGTTTGATTTTTAATGTGCTGTATCTTGCATTGTTGTCACACAACTAATTCGGGTTAAGCTAAGCAAAAGGGCAGTGTGTGGGACACTGCAGAGAGCACCAATGGAAGCTGACATCAAGAAAACCCAGTTTGCCCCTGCAGGGCAGGAGCCAGGTGAAGCAACAGTCCTTAATGGTGCCACGCCCCGTTACTGCCTTGGAAGGAAGCGCTTGGCTCCTATCTTAGTTTCTTTCCCTGTTGCTGTGATAAAATACTCTGATAAAAGCAGCTTGAGGGACATGGCTGGTTCTAGATCACAGTTCTAGGACGAAGTCCTCTGTGGTAGGAAACTCAGGGCAATGGGAACTTGAAGCAGCTGGTCACGTTGTATTCCTAACCTGGAAGCAGAGAGCAATAAAGGTGTGTTAGTGCTCAGCTCACTCTCTCCATTTCATCCAGCCAAGGCTCCCTGCCCTGGGAATTGCCCCATCCATAATTAAGATTGATCTTCTCACATCAATTAACTTGATCAAGATAATCTCTCACAGGCATTACCAGAGCCCCATATCCCAGGTGATTCTAGATTCTGTCACATTAACAATTAACTCTGTCATTGCTCCTCTGTAAGAATGCCTCTCTGGGAGCCCCATTACTCCACCGAGAACACACACACACACACACACACACCATGCTTTCCCTCAAAGGAGGAATGGAGGTAGAACGGCCAAAAACAGACAGGCTAGTGTGCATCGTGCTGAATTGAGCATGATCAACAGCTAGGGAGTCAGACCCCCAAAGTCTCCAAAGGGCTGAGGTCCAGAGCGAGTTAAAGAGAAAGAGGGTCAGGTATCTTTTCCATTTTTAATGTAACAGGAGCAAGAAGAAATATTATAACAATAGTGACAGATTTAGTTTCTTTCCTCCTGGTAACCCTGACCTAAAAATATTACCTAAAAAGCTTGGATTCTAAAAAGCTCACATACCAGGGCTACAGCTGGGATACAAAGTGAATGAACTGTAATTAACATAAAAAATAATAATTAAAAAAGCTCACATACTAGTATGTTCTTGCCCCTGTTTGACAAGCCTAGGGCAGAGAAAAAAGGCTCTTCTGCTGCAGCGTGGGGTATTGCAGAGGATTTGTGATAGTTAGAAGAGATGCTAAATTGGAATGTACCCACTGTGTTGATGGCTGAGGAGGAGAAAACTTCCTATGTCAAACTGTTTCCTTTTTTTTCTAACAAAATATCCCTACAATGCAAAAGATTCCTTTAACCATTAGCTCTATAAATAGAAGGGCACTAACTCCCCAGGTATACAATAGGTGATGGACGGACGGACGGACAGACGAATGGATGGATGATAGTTTATCCAAAAATACCTACGATGCTTAAGTTCAACTCTACATTTTCCTGAGTTCCAAATAAATAGGAGTCCCAGATTGTGAGCTTGTAATACAGACTGGCTTGATCCATGGGTATGTTTGCCCCAAGGCCTGCATTTTGAAGAGTTCAGGGACACTGGTGACAGATGCACAAATGGATAACGGGGTCATAGCAATGGGAGGAAACAGAAGGGTCCAGGGCTAATTACAGGCTTTTCAGCTCCCCACATTCCTTTCATTTCATTTAAGGATCAAGCCCAAGACAGACACTGCTAATTAACCCCAGTCTACCCTCTCCCCATCTGTGGAAACTCCTCTAGGCAAGAACACTATCCAGAATGCTGACTGCATTTCTCAGGTACCATGAAACAAGCTATAGGGTGCATTGTGCCCCGGGAGAGGTGAGACAGTGTGTTCATCTTCTCGCTTATTGTCTTCAGAAGAACCGTGCTTTATATTCCCTCCCAACAAACACAATGAAGTCATGATGTGAGGCTTGTTTATACCACTCCCACAAAGGCCAGATCCTAAAGATGTCAGAGCCCAGGTCATGTGGTAAGCTTAGATTTTTTTCAAACCTACTTTATTTAAGATTCTTAAATGTCTTTACCTCCCTTCCAAACCCCCACCCCCGCCCTGTGCGCCCCCATGCATGGGCACACACAGGGACATTAGTTAAGGAGATTAGTAGGAAAAGAGGCTGTAGACCTGTTTATCCACTTCCTGCTGATAAAGGGTCAGTGAGTTCTTTGGGGGTTACCAAACTCAGTCGTCAGGATACCTGTAGTCTACTCAGACAGCAAAGCAGCAGCAGCAATCCGAATCAGGAGCAGCGGACCAGTTCAGCAGAAGTGGCAACACTCTGCTCAAATGGCACAAGCCCACCAGAGCGGCAAAACTCTGCCAAAGCGGCAAAGCAGTTCTCTGGAGCAGTTCTCTCTGCAAACACCAGCGAAGGGGCCGAACTGTTGCAACGCATAACAGCGCAAAAGGATTCTCTCACTGTCTGTGGTCTTCTATTTATCCCTTCTCAGAGTCCACACAAGGATGTTTTCCAGCTCGCAAAAACCACGGCCCTCAAACGAGGTAGTTTTCAGCTGACCAACACCATGCACCTTTTCACAGAGCTGTTTTCCTGGGGGCTGTTTTGCATGGGGACACAACATTCCCACATTCACACTTGGGATCCAAACCAAAAACATAGCCACATGACACAACTGAGTTTCCAAAGAAACCAGAAACTTCCACTTCACCCATGCCCCATGACTATTTGTGAGCAGATTTTACATGAAAGAGAGGTTGACTTCTACCCCGTGCCAGCCACTGTTTGGGAGGGGGTCTTTCTGAAGAATAGCCTATACACTAATAAATGCAGAGTCTACACCTGGAAGAGGCACAAAGCTTGTGCTGGCTACTTTTATGTCAATTTGACACAGAGTCATTTGGGAAGAGGAAACCCCAATTGAGAAAATGTCCCTACCAGATTGGCCTGTGGGCAAGCCTGTGGTACATTTTCTTGACTGGTGATCAATGAAAGAAAGCCCAGGCCCTTGTGGGTAGTGTCACATGTGGACAGGTGGTCCTGGATTCTATAAGCATTAAGAGCAAGCCAGGTGGATCAGGCCAATAAGAAGCATTCCTCCATGGCCTCTGCCTCCAGGTTCCTGTCCTGTCTGAGTTCCTGCTCTGAGTGTGATGTGGAACTGACAGCTGAATAAATCCTTTCTTACCCAAGTCGATTTTTGTTGAGTAAAATAAAGGGTATCAGGCTAATAGTGTTTATTATTAGTCCTATAATTATTACAGCAGTATATTTAACCTACTATCACAATTAATTAAAATCACAGACACCTGGTAGATTTTTAGAATAGCCTTATCTTACCTGGGGCAAGGCAGATATTAACCCTCTAAACTACCTTTACCTCCCAGCCCCATCCCAGGCTACCTCCCATCCGTAATTCCATAAATAGATCCTTCATCTGGAACAGTTTCCTCTGTCCATGCTGATAGGCCATGTGCTTTTCCCAGGCTAACCCATGACATCCTCTCTTGCTTCTCTCTTCCTCCTCCTCCTGTTTCTCTCTCCCATGATCTTCCTGTCCTCAAAGACACCCCCCACCCCACCCTCAACTCTTGTTGCCGCTTGAGAGAAGTCCCTCCAGAACAAAGCCCCTGTGGGCTATTTAAAACATGTGGCTGATGGCCTTGCTGGTTTGGGGATAAAGAGGGTGGAGCCATGGCTTTGTCACTACCTTTTAAGCTTTTGCTGTTCAGTCTGTAGTGATTCAGTCTGTAGTGATTCAGTCTGTAGTGATCAGCGGGATCCTAGCCTATGAACTGTATCTATGATTGAAAGTTTTCCTTTGATACTAGTTCAGAAATATATTTACAGTCATGCTAAAAAAAAAAAAAAAAACTGGCTAAGCTTTACCTAATCTCTTGTTTTATGTTTTCTAGGTTAAGCCGAGGATGGGGAACTTTACTATACACTCCAGACATCTTTTCAGCCTTTGCTCCCTTCCTGCCCTCTCTCCCTTCCCTCCCTTCCCTAGCCCCAGCATACACTCCCCTTCTCCCTCTTCCTCCCTCCCTGCTCCCAACAATCCTGCATTTATATAATAAAGCTTTGTCTCGCCATTAGCTCATTCCGTTTTATTTAATCAGTCACCAAGGAAAAATCCCAGAGAAGGAAATTGTCATTAAGAGAGCTGCTGCAGGTAAATGGTGGGACCTGGAAAAGATCAACCTGAGTGAGCTGGCCCGGAAGCAGAAAGACACACACGGTATAAACTTGCTCATATAGACATATAACATAGGATAAAACTACTAAAACCTGTACATCTAAAGAAAGTAATCAAGAGAGAGGACCCTGACTAAAATGCTCAATCACCATCCCGAAAGGCAAAGAGGATGGACATCAGAAGAAGAAAACAGGAAACAATCTAGGAACCTGCCAAAGGGCCTCTGAAAGGCTCTGCCCTGCAGACTATCAAAGCAGACTCTGAGGCTTATGGCCAACTGTTGGGCAACGTGCAGGGAATCTTATGTAAGAAAGGGGAAATAGTAAGATCTGGAGAGGACAGGAATTCCACAAGGAGAGCAACAGAACCAGAAAATTTGAACACAGGGGTCTTCCCAGAGACTCATACCCCAACCAAATACCAGGTATGTAGATAACCTAGAACCCCTGCACAGATGTAGTCCATGGCAGTTTAGTGTCCAAGTGGGTTCCATAGTAATGGGAAGAGGGACTGCCTCTGACATAATCTGATTGGCCTGTTCTTTGATCACCTCCCCCTGAGGGGAGAGCAGCCTTACCAGGCCACAGAAGATGACAATTCAGCCACTCCTGATGAGATCTGATAGACTAAGATCAGAAGGAAGGAGAGGAGGACCTCCCCTATCAGTGGACTTGGAGAGGGGCATTTGTGAAGAGGGGGAAGGAGGATGGGACCAGGAGGGGAGGAGGGAGGGCCTTATGGGGGGATACAAAGTGAATAGACTGTAATTAATAAAAATAAATAATTTTAAAAAAAAGAGAGAGAGCTGCTGCACTCCCTAGGAATCCATAAGTTTAGCCCACCAAGGTCTGACAGCTCCAGCTTTTCCTTCTGGGTTGGAGATCCCAATGGGGTTATTCTGATTTTACTAACAGTGGCTTGCTGAGTGAATGGTGCCCTAAGTGTATCAGATAGGAGCACATGCAGACCACACCAGGGTAGGGGTGGGGCAGGCTAGCTTTCCCCAGCAGCCAGGCTTGACGCTAGATGTAAGCCCTGAATGTAGTCTCAGGGTTGTGTCTCTCAGGGACAGGACACGCTACCTGTGAGGACAGCACACCGACATTTGGCTGGCCTGAGGGACACAAGAGCTAAGATTGTTAATTATTCCCAAATTGTCATCAACTCTTTCTGTGTTAAAGAGTTTGTTCTGTGAGGGTAGCAGCAAGGTGTATTCGCACATCTCCCAGGAGCTATGGCCAAGTCACTGGACAGCGGAGCTGAAATGAAGAGAGCCACACTCTTTAACCGGAATGGGTAAACCACTCCTCAGCCCTCTCTCTATTGCTACTGAGTGGGCAGCAGAGATGTTGGGGAAATGTCTTAACCCACCAGGTTACCAACACCTAGAACAGTGAAGCAACAAACTGGAAAAACCCTGGGCTGGCAGGCTGCTCACCTGCCTGCAGGTGATGGAGAAACTTCTCTCTTGCTTAAGCCACTCTGATCTGAAGTCTGTCTTCCAGCTGTTCAGCACATATTTTGTAGATTAGTCACCCTTTGCTCTCCTCTCCACCCAGATGCTGGAGGAGGGTCTCAGAGAAGAGGGGTGTGACTAGGCAAAAGCCAATCCCCATGTCACCTTACCCTGCTGTAGAGACTATTCCAGATAAACACATGCCCCATTTAGAACCAATAATATGAAATTATTTGGAGGACCTGAGAGGAGACACTTTCTCCCCTAAGAATAAGTGAGCACTGAAGCTGCTGCAACCACCTTACACAACAGAGAGAGGCTCGGAGAACAAAGAAAGAATGTCCAAGTCTACACTTCAGTCAGGGAGCCTTTAGTCAGGGAAAACCAAAGCCTAACTTATCCCTTCATACCTCAATTATGGAAACAAACTGTGTTGCCTTTCTATTTAAACTTTTTTTGGGGGAGATTTCTACCTCTTGCTTCCTAAAGAGGTAACAGTGACACACTTATCATCAGCCTTGGGGGCAGGAAGTTATAGAGGCATCGAAGACCAGACATGAGTTCAGACTTCAGTCATAAGACGGAGAGCATCACAAGCTCATTGAGAGACAAAAGTCATTTGTTCTAAGAAAGCATATGGACTTGAAGTAAAACTAGAAACTCCTCAGGATTGAGTACACAGAGCCAAAAGTATTCATAGCTCCAGCCCTTTCTCCCAGGGGCTTCCTGGGCCAGGCTTCTGTCCTTGTTCCTCACTGTTCTCTCAATCAGAGGGCACCCTCTGCTGACAGAGGATGTCTATTGCCTTGAACCTTGGATGTCAAGCTGGTGGCTCTGTTTTTTCTTTCTTTTCAACATATTTTTTTATTGATTCTTTGGTAATTTCCCACCATGCATCTCAATCCCACTCATTCCCCAGTCCTTCCATTTCCATCCCCGCCCTTGAACCTCCCCCACAAAAGAAAATTTTTAACTGAAAATAAAAACCCATTTCCTTGGCCCCTCTGAGTAACAACTTGCCTCCCTTACAGCTCAGCCTTCTTTCACACCGGTCAAGCTGTGGGCTCTCAAGTTCCGCCTTGTGTGTGCCACTCTGCTCCTCTGTCTTTCCCATTTCTCCATCTCATATTCGTGTGTTATAGTGGCATTGGAAGCTGCAGTGTGTAAAAATGTATACCCTTTTTCCCAAACAGCTTTACTTGTGAATGTCCGTTGCAATGAATCATTGGAGTGGTTCAAGGCCTCTGGCTTCTGCTACACTATCAACACAGGACACTTGCCAAGACTCCTTTCAGATATTTTAATGTTTTTGTTTGTTCATTTGTTTTTTGAGACAGAGTTTCTCTGTGTCGCCTTGGCTGTCCTGGAACTCACTCTGTAGACTAGACTGGCCTTGAACTCAGAAATCTGCCTATCTCTACCTCCCCAGTGCCACCACCACCCAGTTCTTCAATATCTTGCTGTTGCCCAGAGACATGAAGACCCTGTAGTTATGGTTCCACAGGACAAGTGCCTTCACATGCCCCAGCAGCTCATAGATGAGGTGGATATTGGGGTGGGCCAACTCAAAGCCCTGGATCTGGACCTGGGTGGTAGCTGAGTTGTTCAGCCAGGGCATGTGGGATGGGGATTGGCACAATGCTTCTAAGCAGCCAGTGAGAGGCGGGGTCAACTCTCCCTCATAGTAGCTTTTCTTAATGGACACCCCCCACTTCCCTTGGAGCTCCTGTGGTCCCGCCAAGTTTCTCCAGTCACAATTCAAAAAAGGTGCATCTTATAGACAAAGGCCATTTTTAATGTGAAAGAAAATGTACAAGCTCTTGTCAGCCGATGAGTTAGCACCTGAATGTGGTGACTTTTGTCCACCAACCATGAAATCTACGGTGTGGCCATCCACTGATTGTCTTCCCCTTGAGGACTGTGCACAGACGTGTCTGCCAACTTGTCTTGTATGCCTACAAAGAGTTATCTGATTAGCGGCACTCTGGTTCCAAGACGCAGGTCCCCAAATCAAATTGGCCACAGCAGCAACAGCTACTTTTCTTTGGATCTTCTAAATCAAGAGTTCAGGAAAGCCAGGCTTGGCCAGAGCCACAAAGGCTTGAATTATGTCGTTGGAAACTGGCATCTCAGTTTGAGCCTCTCAGCAATTCCTAGAGTGTCTCCGTAGCTCTATGTTCATAAGAATGGTTTAAGAAGTTCAGAGCATGCTCAAATATTGTGTTAGTTACTGTTGCTATCCCATCCATCAGCTGCCTGTGAATTCTTAGTTCAGGTCAGTAAACTGAGGTGTCTACCATCCACTGAGGCCTAAGGATGTGGTGCTGTAATTGCCAGGACTGAATCAGCCTATCTGTGAAGTTAAGGGAAAGTGGGACTACCCAATGACATGGCTTGAGAACAGGAGAGCATGTGTGGGTTTTATCATGAGGAAAAGCAAACCTAGATAGATACTAGACAGGCGGAACAGACCTCTTCTGCAGTCTATGACTTGGGCTGTTCAACACCCACACATCCTCCTTGCCATAAACACAGCTGTTAAGCTGCCTCCTCCTTCTCCTTTCTTCACTCATCTTTTCTCCTTCTTCTCCTTTTCCCCCCTTCCTTGTCCCCACTCCTTTCTGCCTTCTCTCCTCCCTTCTCTTCTCTTCCTACTTTCTCTTCTTTCTCCTTCTTTTCTTCCTCCTCCTTCTGGGATTGTTTCAAATTCTCAATCCTCCTGTAACAACATCCCAGGAATTACAGATGTTGACAACTTCACCTGCCAGACGCTAAGCATTCTTGATTTAGAACATGAAATTACATCATGTGCCCCTCCCCTCCAAATGAAATGATAGAAAGCAATGCAGGACTCAGGTACTCAGTCTGATGCAGCATCCAGGTCCAGGTCCAAAACCTCTGGGGAATGCATAGCTCCTTCAGAAACCTGGAAAGAACTGGAACAAGTAAGAGTATGTAGACCCAGACAGCAGGACCTGGATGGTGAGCTCCTTGGAGCTCCAAACAGTCTTCATTTGGGTTATTCCCTTCATGTCTCAGACTGAAAGCATGTGGCCAGCCTATTCTAACCAGAGGCCAGTAGACAAGAGCACATGGAAAAGGGAACGTGGCTTCTGTCACACTGAGAAGAATGCTGAAATAGCAAGGGATGTCTGACTGTGCCTGTCTATGCTCTGAGAAGGTGCTAGTAAGTGAGCAGCTGGATCCCTGGGTTCACACAAGCCATCAATGGCAGCTCCAGTTATGAGCAGGAGCACACAGATGATGGACTTACACATGGTTTCTGGCCACAGCACAGACCAGGAACATGTCATGTTCCCTGACATAAGCACATGCTCTGGACTTGAGCATGGTCTGAAGTGGCAGTACAGAGCATGGCTATCAACACAGCCCTCTGCCTCAGCACAGGCCGTGGGCACCACACACCTGTCATGGCGGCAGCATGGATCACGGGACTGTGGGGAGGATGGACAGGGACTATGGCTAGGTAATAAAGATGGCTGGCTTCTTCCTCACCCTCCTGACTCAAGACAAAAGCTGAACAGCTTAACACATGGGGATTGTGTGCTTTTTCTCCCACCAGCAGGCCCCGGCTGATGGACTGAATCTGGATGTGTTATACAGCAGTCATGGGCTCACCAACCAGCCTACCTTTTTTTAAACTGACCAACCCTAAATTATGGGAAGAAAACTCTTTAGAAACTTTAGGAAGTCTGGCCCCAGATAAATGCATTTCTCAAATGCTGATTCTGCCAGCTGTTGTCTGCAGTGTGTAAGATGCTACCTGTTGCTCTTCAGACTTTGCTGTCTTTTAATTCTTTAACTAGCAGAGAAGATGAACCCAATCAAGACCCTAGACTGTATCACTAGCTTTGTGACCAATGAAATACATAGATTGACCTTGGCTAAGTCCTATTCAAAGCCCCACGACTCTGGCGAGGAGACGGTGTGGGGAGCAGAATGGCACCTGCTTTATAGGAACTGTTTGGGTAATGAAGTGGGGAAGTAGTTCTCTCAGAAGAAAGCAGAATGCTTGAACCTGGGTAGGGAAAAGACAACAGTTCGGCAGGGGAAGGAGGAAGAGGGCACAGGACCGGAATATAGATGACAACCCAGGAAGCAGGAGTGAGCTAGGTGGTGAATTAGCTCTGTATTGGCATTCTGAGGAGTTGACATGGAACTGGACACATACAGTGAGGGGAGGAACAAGGGGGACTTGTGACTCAATTGGATATACTCCCTTTTAAGTTCCTCAAAAGAGGAGGCGTGTGATACATACACACAGTAGAGTTCTCTTCTGCTGTGAAGAGGAACGAAAGCGCGGCACCTGCAGGAAAATAGAAAACGGGAAGTCGTATGTTAAACAAAGTTGCCAGACTGGGAAAGACAAATACTGTATGTTTCCTTCATATGTGGAATCTAGATTTAAGTGTGAATGTGACATGAAAATAGAAGTGGTTCTAATGGGGGGGGTCAATAAAGGGTAATGGAGATAAATGTGAGAAAAGTACATATATATGTTCTGATAAAATACACTATTATTTATTATTATTTTTATAATAAACAACTGCTAACTTGGAAAAATAAAACTGTTAAAAATAAGAGAGGCCTTACGTTGGTTGGATTTCTATTGGTCAACTGAGAACCACCCACATTCCAGAACCAGGTTCCCCCGTCCCTCACCCCACCTTCAGTGGCTCAGTGCCAGCACCCAGTCATCACTAGCAACCGATGTGACAGAAACAATGTTTCCACTGTCACCATCGTCATGTATTTTCCCTGTGCACATGCTCCATACGCCCTAAACACTTTTCCCTACTGTGACAAAACACCTGAGGTAAACAACCTAAGGTGAGAACCAAGGTTAAATGCAAAAGGTTAAAAGGTTAAATGTTTATGTTTTTACCCCCTAAACAAGTTCATTTGAACCAACTACACCAGATGTGCTTGATTGGATGTAGGTGGGAGGTACCTAGGCAGGAAAAAATCAGGATATATGGGTGCCCCTGGCTGAACCTGATGCGATTTTGTCTTTTTAAGCCTTTGTGAAAACATGATTCGTGGCCATTTTCTGGGAACCCAGAGATGGACCTGGCCAGAGTCCATCTTCCTGGTTTAAAGCTTGCTTCAAATTCAGCTCACAAACTGTGGAACTGGTCTTTCTCTCACGATTTTCAAGATTAACACTAAACAGGAAAGGTTCGCTACAACTCACTCTTCAAAGGTTCCAGCCTATGCCCGGTTGTTGCCAGAGCTTCTGCGCCGCCAAAGAGTCCCGCATCACAGAGGGGTCACATAGGAAAACAAGCAGCCCAGAAGCAAACACAGAAAACAGGAAGGTTCTAGGGTGTGTCCCCTTTAAAGGCACACCCCAATGGCCTATCATCTTTTCACTAGGTCCCACCTGCCAAAGAGTCCACTCCTTCCAGTAGCACCACAGCCTCGGAAGCAATTCTCAACCTGTGTGCCTTTGGGATAAGAGTACAACCCAAACTATAATAAGACTGTAAGAAATCAAGTCTAGCCAGGTGGCAGTCGCACGCCTGTAATCCCAGCACTCGGGGAGGCAGAGGCAGGTGGATCTCTGTGAGTCTGAGGCCAGCCTGGTCTACAAAGCAAGTCCAGGACAGCCAAGGCTACACAGAGAAACCCTGTCTTGAAAGAAAAAAAAAAAAAAAAAGCAAAACAAAACAAAACAAAACGAAGAAAGAAACTGAGTCTGAAGGCACTGTAGCTAAACAAGGGAACAGGGATAATGTCATAGCTGACTAGGGAGGAGTTTACACAGACATGAGGCACGGTTTGTCCATGTCTCTCAGTGTGGCCTTTATCCTGCCCTGGCTTCTCTGTTCCTAAATGATGAGAGGTAACACTTCTTTAGATGGGGGCTGATCTTAAGGTTAATTGAAAGTGGCCTTTCTCATGAATCATCCACCACCCTGAATTATTTATCAGTGCCTTTAAACTCTTGGACCTTGAGCAAATCTCCTTGGAAATGTGCTTGCCAATGACAACATGGTTTCCTTTTGGCCATGGAAGAGAGAAACCATGTCTGCTGCTGTTTCCAAGTTTTCCAGCACCAGACACCAAGCAATCAACCAGATCTGAAAACAGGAAATAATGGGCGGCACTTCCATTATGTGAAGTTGCCTCTGAGCCAGCCTAGTCGCATAACTCTCATGCAATGGAGGGGAAGCACCATAGTACCTTTGGCTCTTGCCTAGTTCAGGGGCAACACCAAGTGACATGTCTCCTAGGGACTTACGTGTACCTGCCAGCTGATCAGTGGGAAAGAGGGCATAAGGGATCTGCAAGTGGCAAGATGCCTCTTTAATTTCTTCCTCTGAAAGCCTGGTTCTAAACCTCAAGGCTAATATAAAGTTTGATGGGACAATATAAAGTGGACATGAATCACAACTCTCTGAACACTGGGAGACATGGAAAAGAGAGGCCTTCTGACTCTTTTCCAGTGAGAAAAGTCCCAGGCTATGTGAGCTGGATGTGGAAGGTGCTTACACACGGAGCTAACAGGTAACGAGCATGAGTCCCAGCAGCCAGTGCCCAGCATGAGGAGCTCCTCAGGAGCTTGAAGTGCACAAGCCACTGCCAACACAGCTTTTGCTGAATATGACGTAGCTCCGCCTCCGCGGAGGAGCTAATCTGCTAGGGAGTGTAGGATAGATGTTACTCCAGCCACAGACGTGGAGTCCCTCAGTCATCATGGCAGCTTCAGGAACCATGAGAACAAAGAGCTAATGATGAACAGCTTCTTGAAGAAGGTCCCAGAGGTTCGTGCAGCAGGGTGAGCCTGTTCGAGGCAGGTGGGAGGGGCATTGAGTATTCCAGGCATACTGAAAGGAAGCCAGTATGTTGGCAGGCCTTTCAGAGTATCTGCACAAGGCCAGACCCTGAACATGTAGAGGGAAGGAAAGAGCATAAAAGAAATGAGGTGGGAGAGACACATGATCAAGTGTGAGGCGCCCAGAGAAAGCCCATGCAGTATTGTTGGTGAGGAATCAGGGAGGCCTGGGATAGGGTTTTGGAGATGATGAAGATAAACAGAGGAAAACGAGCTGTCTTGGATGTTGCTGGTCAAAGAAGGAGGCCAGGGAGAGAGATAGATGCACTGGGAAGGCATAGCATGAGGCCAGGGGCATATCAATCTCTACTCAATAGCCAGATTTAGACCCAGTACAACTCAGGCTCAGTAATAAAGACAACAGGTACAAATAGAGTATCATGCCTCATTATGGTCAGGGTTACCAGGAAGGGGACATGTGAGCATGGATAAATGCCTGAAGCCAGCCCTGGGACACACTGAAAGTTCCAACTTCCTGTACTGAAGAAAAATATGACCCACCCCTGCCCCAGTCCAAGGGATGCATAGATGCTCTGATTAGCCCTAAGTTGTTCACATCTGTCTTCCTTCGTTAAGGTTTCCATTGTTGTGATGAAGCACCATGAGCAAAACCAACTTGGGGAGGGCAGGGTTTATTTCACTCACAGTTCCATGTAACAGCTTATCATCAAAAGCAGTGAGGGCAGGAACTCAAGCAGGGCAGGAACCAAGAGGTGGAAGCCAATGAAGAGGCCATGGAGGGATGCTGCTTACTGGCTTGCTCTTTATGGCCTGCTCAGTCTGCTTTCTTATAGAACCTGGGACCACCAGCTCATCGATGGCCTGATCTACATGGTCCCCCCACCCCAATCAATCACTAATTAAGAAAATGTTCCACTGGCTTGCCACCCAGTCTTATGGAGGCATTTTCTCAGTTTGGAGCTCCCTCCTCTCAGATGACTCTAGCTTGTGTCAAGTTGATATAAAAATTAGCCAGCACAACACCCCATGTGATTACTTTGCATGGCAAAAGGGGACTTGCAGGTTAAGCTAATGATCCTGACATGAGGAGATAATCCTGAGATGCCTGGTGGGTGCCTGCAATCTTGAGGGTCTTTATAAGAGAAATGCAGAAAGAGTTGAGCGGGGCTGGGGAGGATGGGGCCACAAACCTTTAATCCCAGTCAGCACTGGGTGGCAGATTCAGGTGGATCTCTGTGAGTTAGAGGCCAGCCTGGTCTACAGGATACCAGGATAAGCCCAGGATACCAGGGCTATGCAGAGAGACTCTAGCTCAAAAACACAAACAAACAACCCCCCCCCCAAAAAAAAAAGACCCAGACTCAAAGAAAATGCTGCACAGCTGGCTTTGAAGATGAGGCTCTAGTAAGCAGTCATAGCAATTGGAAAAAGATTCTCCTCTGGAACCTCCAGGTAGAGCCTGCCATGAAGGCTCACCCCAGCCTTCTGATCTTGCAACTGCTGCCATTGCAGCATTAGGAACTATGCTGGCCTAGTTCTATGTATGCAGGCCTCTAACTCACACCTTGATGGAAAGATGAGGGGCTTAGAGGACCCCAGCTTCTTCTTGCTCACCTCTGAAGACTGGGTTCTCCTGACACTCTCCAATCTGACTGTGCTACCAGGACAATAGCGTAGGGAAATGCCAGGGTGGCCTTTCTTACTAGGAGAGGTTCAGGAATGAGACAGTGCCGTCACTCCTTGGGGACAAGTGGGTAGAGACTGAGTTTCTGGGATCTCTGTCCCCATGATGTAAAGGACTCTGAAGTTCACAGCTCATTCCACCTTGCCTCAAGTGAAGGAAAGCCCTGGAAAGGCAGGGCCTTCTCACCAACCTACCTATCATACCGGGCCTTCGGTGGACACCACACCAGCACCTCCGGAGTCCCAGAGGCCAAAGCTTCCTCTTTGGACGTTACTTCTGTAAAACCCTAGACGGACTTCCCCTTCCCCCACTTACTTAGGCAAGGGAAGTTCTCCATTCTACTGAGTGGAGAAAGGGTACTTACTGAAGGCGTAAACTCACTGGTAGGAACCACTGAGGTTCCCTGCAGAGCCCCTAGAGGGAGCCTCTCACTGATTGCCGGATAACAATCACCGTGTCACCATGATAACTGGTGTAAAGAAGACTCAGTTAATGATCACCTGAGTCAGATTGTTGCCGTAATAGTGGCTGTCATCCCTTACTTTCTAAGTCACCGCTAAGACTGTCAAGGCTGTGAGAGCCCCTCAAGTTCACGTGAACACTTGGGGTGTTATTGCTAATCAAGGTCGGAAAAGCTTTGGGAAAAAGTTGTGAGGGGCAGTTGGGTTGGAAGCCTGGAAATCAGGCTTTGTGAAACCTGAGCTCCACACGGCTGGTGGGACAGCTAAGCAGGTAGAGCTGCTCCCAGGAATGCTTAGGAACTCCGGACTGAAAAAGCCAGACCGGGTTGGAATCTGGAGGAGTCGCAACTCAGCCTTCGAAGGACCAATGGAGAGGACTCAGGCGCATTTCTGGCCTCAGGCACGGCTCATGCAAGGGCCACCCTGTGGTGCAGAGCCCACGCTGATAAAGAAGCTTTGCTCTGCCCTCAGTGATGGGCGTGACCTCGGCCCCCTACCGGAGCCTCCGGCACCGGCACCTGGGACCTGCCCCTCCCGGAGCCCGCGATTTCCGGACTCGCAGCAGCGCCTCTGAGCCCCTCCCGGGCCTGGGCCAGCACTGGGGCGGGGCGCTGGAGCCCTGCCCCCCAACTACCCCGCAGCAGCCTCCGCTTTCTGGAGGGCTTCTGTGCAGAGACCGCCTGGGTCCTGCCGCGCCGTCCAAGAAGCAGCGTGAGTCCCGCGAGCTACTGCTCTCAGGAGCAGCCCCATGGCGGGTAAGTGACCTCACCTCCTACCTCTATTCCAGGGCTTGGAGTCTGCTCTCGCAACAATCCAGCATTTGTCTCAACCCTGGAACCCAAGGAAATGGAGTGAAGGGTGCAGCTAGCTCTTCGCAGACAGGTACAGGTTAGGATGGTACTGGTCCCGCCTTCTCACCAGCTGTCTAGACCCCTGAACCTGAGACAACCAGTGCCGGTCCGCGCCTAGGAGGCTGCTTTGCCCAGTGCCTGCATGCAGAACGTGAGACCCAGCCTCTAAGCCTTCTTGGTAGATCCAGGCAGGACCTCCGGGGTCCCTGCAGATGTGGGAGTCGAAAAGTCGTTAGGTCTCCCATTTCTCAAATCTGCCATCTTTTCCTCCTCTTAACACTAGGCTTCACTGCCTGCCACCTTCTCCCCTAGATAGAGGGCAAGTTGGGGGAAGAGCTTGTGGAGCCTCCCTATCTGATTCCAGGACACGCCCCCCCCCCCCCGAACTTTCCGCCCTACTCTCCCCCCACTCCCACCCCCCAAAAAAGAGCTGTCAAGCCACGGGGCAGCGATTCCTTCCTGGACTTTTCTCAAGTGCATGGAACCCACACCCAAGCTCACATCCAAACCCCAGCAGGAAGTGGAGGCTCTATGAGGGAAGGTTTGCTTTCTACTCCGGAGCACAGCCACATCCAGGTCCAAGGCCAGCCGTTCCTAGTGGAAATGTCTTTTGGGCTGAGACCAGCAAACAGCCTATTTAGGTGTCATTCCTGGGATGGGCCCTGCCCGGTTCTGCTCGCTCCCAAGGACCAAGGTGTGTGAGTTGGTGGGGTGGCTCTCCTCATCTGGCTCACAGCCCGCACGGGTGGTCTCTGCCTCAGAGCAGCTGGCCTTGGTGGTCGGGGGCATCGCTGGGGGGCTGCTGATGATGATCGGAGTGAGCTGCTGCCTGTGGAGGAGGCTTTGCACCGCCTTCACCTACGAGGAGTTGCCAGAGATGCCAGACCCGGCCACCCCCTCTTCCTCCAGCAAACACGAGGACAAGCTCTGCCAGCACGCTGGGCCCCCACCTGGCAGGTGAGATTCTGGGCCTTTCATTCTCTAAGGCCTTGCTTTGCTTGGGTACTTACCCGTGCGGTTGGGCAAGGCGGAAAAGAAACGTTTTGTTGTGGGGTGCCCATCAGCCATCAGCATGCTGGAAACTACACAATGAAACCCCAGAAACCTCACAATAAGCTGGAGGCAGGCTTTGTGAACCCCATTTTCCGGTTGGGAAAACTGGCGCAGAGGATATTAAAAAACAGGTTGGACCGGGACAGGCTGCTATCAGAGGTTCTGCTCTGATTCTCCCATCACACCATTCTGGGCAGACAGGCACTGTGAGTGAGTATGTGTGTGTGTGTGTGTGTGTGTGTGTGTGTGTGTGTGTGTGTGTCCTAGCATACCCCCAGAAGTGATGCTCTTGGCTCCTGCTGGCTTTTCTCCCTCCAGCCTTTGGCTCAGCCTCTTCGCTGAGCATTGAGGTCACATAACTCCCTTGCCATCCAAATGTTGCTTTCCTCCCTTTGGACAGGCTACCAAGTGTACCATTTGTGGTACCTCCTTCTTACCAAGGCCGAGACTGGGTGCCCCTACATGGTAGAGATTGGACTCTGGCCCCACAGGACCCCTGCCCTGTCCCAGAGCACATGCCCTATACCTCCAGTACCAACCCTGGTAAGTTTCCCCATGATTCAGGGACCGGTCTGGCTAGGTATAGCCACCTGCTTTCATTACTCTGGCCAGCCCAAGGATGCCAATGACCAGTGTTTCTGGTGCTTTGCTCACCAAGTGCCTGCTTCACTCCATATTCGCATGCTGTTTTGGCACTGGGCCTCACTGTGTTCCTCACTGTGGAGTGGAGAGAACTATGACCTCATTTATAACTGAGGCTGGGGAATGTTGGCAGTGCTTACCCTAGGACAGAGGCAGCAGGGGGCTGATGTGGGGGCCCTGAGAAGGCTTTTTGGGTAAAAAGCACATGCCACATAAACTTGACTGCTTACACTTGATCACCGGATCCCATGTAAAAGTGAAAGGAAAGAATGAGTTCCACAGGGTTGTCCTCTGATCGCCACACAAGCATCTTGTCATGTGCATGCCCATACATACACATCATGCGTACATACTTACATATATACATATACACATACGTATACACAATAATCATAATAAATAAAATGAAAAATTAAAGAATTCAGTATAGAATTGGAGCCAAGGCATGCCCTGGTGCAGAGGTGGACTGGATCCTGCCCCAGGATGATGGATTGGCAGACTGAGGGGGCAGAAGGCTAGGGGGTGGGAGCAGAGATTTGCAGCCGCCTCTTCCTCTGAAGATCTCCCAGGATAAACGCCAGCAAGCAGCTATCCATTCTAATTTGAAGAGGAAGAAGAAAGGCAACCTTTTGTCAGTGTTCATCATTCCTTAGACACTGCAGAAAGGAGTCAGGCCAGGTGCTGGGGATAATGGACCCCCAGGGACGAGGTTAATCAGAGGGACAGGTGTGATGGGCTCTGGCATGCAGTGAGTGGCTCGGCCATGAGGTGGGCACACCGAGAGCCGGTCCTCCCTGGCCTTCTGTTGTAGGAGATGCATGTATGGCAGGGAACATCGACCCAGAGCTATACAAGTCCCCAGCGGACACTGGTGAGACAGACTTCCCTGATGGCTGCCGGGGCCGGCTGTGGTTCTCGGTGGAGTACCAGCAGGAGTCTGAGCGGCTGCTGGTGGGCCTCATCAAGGCTCAGCAACTGCAAGTCCCCTCAGAAGCCTGCAGCACCTTGGTGAAGCTCTGCCTGCTGCCTGGTGAGCGGCGCTTCCTCCAGTCCAAGACCAAACACAAAACATACAACCCACAGTTTGATGAGAACTTCATCTTCCAGGTACCTCTGGAGCAGGGGTATCCAGTGCCCTTGGGCTCTCTGGGAGGGAGCATTGTAGAAGATAACCTGGCTTCCTATAGACAGGTCTTTCCAGCCCTCCAGGACCCTTGAGCCTCCTGCCCTGCTTTACTCAGCAGGCAGGAGCAGGGAGGAAGCCACTGGTGAAGAAACTTTAAATGAGGCTTAGAGAGAGATGGTCAGAGACTGGGTTCCTCCTGCCCTGGATGCCTGGGGCAAAGAAGAGAGAGAAAGCATATTTTGAAGCGTCTACTTAGCTGATGCTAGGCTCTTTTGAAGTGTCTACTTAGTTGAGGCTAGGCTCTGACCCATGGCGCTGTTGGAAGTGACCCAATGTTCTGAGCATTATGGGCAAGGTCATCCAAGAAAGACCCTCAGGCCTATTTGAGCCCTGACAGAAACTGCCTGTCCTGGTTGGAGGTGTCAGGGACTGGAGCCTTGCTGCAGCCTATTGGTGCCTTCGCCACACCCTGGGCCTAAGGTTGAGTAGACCTGCACAGTATCAGGCTTACAGCAGCCTGGGAACCACAGCAGGTGTCCAGGGGATCTTAGAAGGACCTGCTAAGAGGTCTTGAACAAACATGTCTCAAGAGCTATGCAGCACAATATCCTGAGAGGGAAGGAGAGGCCAGCCCACTTCCAGAAAGCATGTGATTACTGGCAGTGTGGTTCAGGCCTTTCTCCAGGAGGCTGAGAGCTGGGAAGAGGTGTGGCCCAGCCAGCCAAAGCCCTCCCTCCTACAGGAGCCAGGGCTGGGAGACCTAAGAGAGGAATGCCTGCTCTTCTCTTATCATTTTCCCATGCTTTCACACCCAAGGGGTTTTTTGTTTTGTTTTGTTTTGTTTTTGTTTTTGTTTTTTGGTGGAGAAAGAGGGATATCTCATTTATTCAAATTTGATGGGTTTTTTTTTCTCTTTTCTTTTGTTGTCACAGTTTGAGGCTAGACCCTTGCCACAGAGTATTTTAATATTAACTTTTAGTATTAATTCTTCTTTATTCTTGAGCATTTCACATATATGTTTGCAATAAAGCATAAAGCATGATCAAATCTCCCCATTTCCACTTCTAAGTACCCCCATCCAAATACCTGCAAGACGATCCTCCCAAGTTCATGTCTGGTATTCTCTCTCTCTCTCTCTCTCTCTCTCTTTTCTCTCTCTCTCTCTCTGAGACAGGGTCTCACTGTGTAACCCTGGTTTCCCTCTATAGACCAGGCTGGTCTCTCGAACTCCCAGAGAGCCACCTGCCTCTGCCTCCCAAGTCTTGGAATTCAAAGCATTATTCACCACCACATCTGAGTTTTACACCCTTTGCTTTCTCTTAGGTATTCCCTGAGCCTTGGGTGGGGAGAGGGGTTGAGGAGGATGATCCATTTAGGGATAAGCAGCCAGTCTCTTAATTTCAGCATTTTGACTAGTTGTCACACCCCAACTTGACCCTGGCCTTCATGCTCCAGGAAGAAAGGGCTGAAGAGGGAAAATAAGTATTATTTGGTCATCTGCTCTAAGCCAGACACAACTAGACAAGAATAGTGACCCCCATCTCACAGCTGTGCAGGCAAAGGCTCAAGAGAGCCCATTTCCACAAGACTGAGTTATGATTTCTGGCATGCTTTTTCTGCAAGGAAATACTTTCCAAGGGCAGATTCTGGTTATTGGGGTACCAAGGTCCCAGGCAGCAATGGGTACAAGTCCTCAGAACACTGTATGACAAGGCTGGGGCCCATGCATGCACATCCCTGGGTTGCTGGCCCTTGCTGCTGGAAAGGGTTCCCAAGGAAGCCTGGGTTTGGATGTGTGTTCTGCCTGCAACTTGTTATATTATCCACCTGGCCCCTACTCCAGACCTGACCCTGCCCTGGGTCCTCTCCTTCCTCAGGTATCCAGCAAAAGCATCACCCAGAGAGTGCTGAAGTTCTCCGTGTACCATGTGAACAGGCAAAGGGAGCACCAGCTCCTGGGCCAGGTGCTCTTCCCACTGAAGGATGAGAGCCTGGCGGGAGACCAGCACCGAGTCATTTGCAGAGACCTGGAAGCTGAGAACCTCGAGGTGAGATGGTCCCAGACACATGCCACCTGTCTCAGCACTATTGTGGGAGTGAGAGAGGCGTGAGACCCACCCCAGCCTGGCTGGCATCTTTTCTCGCCACCATGCCATTGTGGCTCAGGGAGGTAGCCCAGG